TTTCAAAGATTACCCGGGCCTGTCGGCCAAGGTGTGAACTCGTTGAATACATCAGTGTAGCGCGCGTGCGGCCCAGAACATCTAAGGGCATCACAGACCTGTTATTGCCTCAAACTTCCTTGGCCTAAACGGCCATAGTCCCTCTAAGAAGCCGGCCGTGAAGGGATGCCTCCACGTAGCTAGTTAGCAGGCTGAGGTCATCCTCTCCTCTTTCCATCCTCTCGGCGATTCCTCTTCCTCACTCCTCTCCTCCTCTCTTTTCTGTAATCAAAGCCATGTTTAATCCATCAACGATGGATTCTTTTTACCTTCCTCTCAGTCGAGCTATTTATCGAGCCCTTATTTTCGGATCAAACGTCGCTTATCTAGAGACAGAGCATCAACCGATGGCGATTAACCAGCTCCACTTTTCTGATTCGAAGGACAGATGTTTCTATGATTTTGGAATGCCGGTGAGTTTCTGCGGTGGACATGGTTTTTCTTGACAACAAGGTATCATGCTTAACTGTAGCTTTATGGAACTGTTCATGTTCATCTTAGGGAAACTTGTGAAGATGCTCTTACTCAACAACGTGCTATAGAGATGTATAGAACAGAAGATTCCTCGGAAGAAGCCTATACTTCCCATACTGATCGAGTGTTTGAGAAAGTTGCAGAAGACGACAAACCATTTGAGGTGCATTAATGTTTCTTCAAATGCCATTTGCAAGAGCCCTTTTATTCTGAGGTCCATACCATTCTGTGTCAATTCTTTTTTCAGGCGCCAGATTACTTGTGTTGCAACATTACTTTTGAGATATTCCGAGATCCTGTGATATCTCTGAGTGGGGTTACGTATGAAAGAGCAGCAATCCTTGAACATATTAACAAGGTTGGCGTATCAATCTCTCAGTCTCTCCGTCTTTACTTCTTTTCATTACTCTTAAGCTTCGGTCGAATCTTCTTGCTAGGGAGGGGGCATCTTCTTCGTTATCCTAATTTCCTAAAAACCTAACCTTTGTCTTACCTCGATCCTCTATCACCCAACACTGTCGCCAATACAAAAGGTATCTCCAGTTTTCTCAATTCAAATATGTGGCTTGACCACCCAAGTTTTTTATACTCTTCAGTTTCTTTAGTATTGATATGTGTTTTTTTGCGATTGCGACTTTTCATCTCACTGATTATGATTCTTAGGTTATTGTGATTCAGTTAGCTCACTTATTACATAACAGAATTTGGGTTTCTTTTTCAGCTCATAAAAGATGCATTTATGGTGTTATCATTATCGCTATACAGAACTTTAGATTTAAAAAAAAAAAAAAAAGTGTTTATCTTTTGTAGCTGTGTTAACAAAAGCTTTAGCCTTTTGTAGTTAGCGTTAACTTCTTTGTTGTTGTTGCAGGTTAGAATGAAAGGCTTCATAGACTGGGTTATCGATCTATCCAAAAAAAAATATGTGGATGGATCAACCTTCACCTTCAACCACAAGAAAAAACAGAAAGACTTTGATGTCTATAAAGAGATACGCGAAGAAGCGTCCACCTGATGTAGTTCTTTACTTGGACCGTCTTGATATGATCGACATGAGATACAGTGATTACCCTCTCCTGAGCCTTATAACTGAAGTCTTGGGTGCAGCTATATGGTTAAACACAATACTTGTAATGACGCATTCTTCAATTGCTTCTGTGAAGTACGAGTCATACGTTGGCCAACGCATGGATGTTGTTCAGCACTATATACATCAAGCTGTGTCTGATACGAAGCTACAAAACTTTGTACTGTTAGTTGAGAACCATCCTAGCTGTAGAAAGAATCCTGCGGGTGAGTTTGTTCTTCCTAACGGACAGGTGTGGAAGCCTCAGTTTATGTTTCTGTGCGTTTGTACCAAAGTTCTTGGTGATGTTCAATCTCTACTGAGGTTTCGTGACAGCATTGGTTTGGGACAGCCAAGTAGTACCCAAACAGCTTCTCTGCCTCATCTTCTTACGGGTTTTCTGTGCCGTCGGTTACCGTCAGGTGGAGATGAAGCAGAGAAGGAGATAGACGAGCTTATGGATTCGGAGCTGGAGGAGGAGGAAGATGAGTATGACCAGCTGCCTGCAATACGGATCCTTGGCAAAGCCCGGTTTGAGAAGCTGTCAAAGTCTCAGCAGAGAGAGTACGAAAGGCTTCACAGACTGGGTTTTCGATCCTATAACGCGTGAGAAACTCGATCCATTAAAACTGGTTCCAAATCTGGCTATCAAAGAGGCAGTGGCATCTTATCTTGAGAAACACGTATGGGCTTAGAAAGTGGGTACTTGATTCAAATGAGGCTTGACATACACACAATGAAGCGGGAGAGAGATGAGTTTAACTCAAGTGACTGAGCAAAGCAGTTCAGTGCCTTTATTTAGTTTTATGTGTTTCTACTTGCCAAATTCTTCGGTGTATGACTCACTACCTTGTATATATATTTGTTTTTTTTAACACATTCGCCATTCCGTTTAATCTAACACACACCCACAAAGACTTTGTTTAGACCATGGAGGATAGGCCAAACCAGAATCATAATGGAGTTCTTTTACAGTCTCATACCGCATATGTAGCAGAGAAAATAATCAAAAGTATGGATTTAGTTCCATAAACTTATGGTTATACGGGAAAATCTATACAACAAAGTCCAGAAAATCATAAACTTTCATTTAAACCATTTAATTTTGCCACATAGGATAAATAAAAAGAGTGGATGCCATAGGGAAAGTAGTTCTATACGAGCTTGTGTCAAGGCCACATTTCTTGCTACAGTTTTTTTTTACTGTACCTATAGTTTATTTACTTTGTTCCGCTCCCATTGTTGCTTCATCCCTTTGTGTTATGGATGTACACCAAAATTATATCAACTTCCATTAAGTTTTAACAAAGAAAAAAATACGAGTACTAAAGTTTATTAATATGTATATGTATGTAATTTAAATTGATTTTACCAAGATTCTAAAAACCATCCTACAATTGTAGATGATGAACCAAGGAATACAAATAAGTTTCATATCTCGGCATATTAAACAGTCTAACTATATCATGCTAACATTTGAATTCTCTGATCTAAATCGATTCATTGTCTTTTCAAAAAAACTTAATAGACATTATTCGAAGGCTTAATGAAATTAAAAATAGAATACAAAAAGATCTAAATCACAGGAAATAAGAAAAACTTAGACTTCGATTGCTTTAGTTGTTTTTGGTTTTAGTTTTTGGGTTTTAGATAGTTAAATATCAGTTCTTTATTTTTATATTGTGTTTATGACATTCAAATTTTTTGGTTTTAGTTTTGGTTTCAATATTTACATTTTGGTTTGAAAATTTTAATTTTAAATTTATTTTTACTATTTTTAATGTTATATGTTTATTGGTTTTACCAAAAGAGAAGTTTTTTAAGATAGCTCTTTTTAGTTTATTTTCATCAAAAAAGTATTCAAAGAGGAAAATGATCACAAGCGATTTTATTAAATAGTAAATATACCCTTATATCTATATAATTAAATAATATAGACTTAGAAAAGGAATATACATTTACCAAATGTTGATATATTTTTTATTAATATTTAAATAAAAAATCTCACAAGTATATATGGAATGTTACCAGCTCTTTTTAGAAGCTCAAAAACATTGATTATGTTTTACCACTAAAAGTTAAACTTGATACAATATATAAAAACTGATTTCCCAATTTTATAGGATTTTTGTTGGTTTGTTGATTGATTGTTACAAAGGTCTTTAATTCCCTTAAACTTTTTTTTTTTTGAAATCTTAATAAATAATCATAAGGAATATCTGATGTACGTGAACGTGTTATACACAACGTTATATTTATAAAATTGTAAATATGTAGTATAGCATATAGATTAAAAAACTAATATATAGAGTTTAATATAAAATTGTAAAAATATATATTTATTTTAAATTTACAAAACATGTTATGAATAAAAATATATCTTTCAAATATGTGAATTAAAAACAAATAATTGTGTTAGTAAAAAAACTAAAATGCTAACTAAAAGAAAACAAAACAAAAAGATAACAAAAATTAACACTATATATAGAGATGATTTAACTATTATTATATAATGTATAGACTATATTCTATCCATTAAGTTGTTATGTATAATTGGTAAATTGAAGTTTTTTTGGTTATAGAATCAAATTTCCAATAATACAATGGTTTTTGAAATACAAAAACCAAAAATCCTTCTAAAACTAAAAAACAGGCAACATGTTGAATCAAAATACTGTTACTTTAAAAAAAATAGATACATACTCATACAAAATAATTGACATAATAGTAATGTAAAATTTTAAAATTAATAAAAAAATATAAACCACACTTTAAAAGTTAGATACATAAAACAAAAATATATATATATTATCCGCGCGTAGCGCGGAGAAAATCTCTAGTGATAATTAATAGTTGTTGGTGAGTGATAGTAAATGACTATATAAACAGCAAAGCAACAGTGTTTTTTAAAAAAAATGCGACAGCTATAAAACCATCTTATTGAAATTCTCAAAATTATGCATGAACATCGAACTGTTTTAAGTTCAAAAAAAACAGCGAACTGTTTAGAACCATAGTAATTCATGTCTCATTGATTTATTTGTATTTTGTGATTTTGTCAGCTAGTGAGAACATAAACACGTATCTTTCAGGGTACTTGTCTCTCGATCTAATTGTTTTGTTTTATCCGCTGAACAATTTTTTAGTTATTCTAGTGACCTTCTTTGACAACTCAACAATGACAATATTCCAGATGTAGTGACTACAAACCACAAACTTACTTTTGTTATAGGTAGATTGTGTTAGATGATAGGTACAATTGATCTATGAAACTATATCAATTGTATGCTAAATGTGATCAACATCTTTGTTTAGATTCTTTTGCAATTAAGACCTAATTATAAGCAATATTGGAAAGAACACAAAAATTAAGATAAAAAACAGAGGATTAAATCCAAAACCTGAATCCAAATTTAAACTAGGATGTTTATCCACCATATTCGGAAATAACAAGAGTACTTTTAACATATTTTTCTATTTTTCTATGATAAAATTAAATTAACATAAGTTTAGAAATAATTTTAAAATCCTAGTATTATCAATGACAAATTTTTTTTTCTTTTTATAAAACTAATTTTGAAATATGAGAATGGTACATAAAATTAAAAATGATTGTTTTTCTAACGAGAGCAAGCTGCTGGCATCTCGTCTTGTCTAACTTCGGCGCTTTCATTGCGTAAGTCTCTCTCTTTCGAGGAAATACGAAAACCCTTTTAACATTCTCATCAAAATCTGATGTAAAGTATTGAACTTTGTGAAATTTTGATTCATGGATAACTTGTTTCATCTTACTCAGCTTATAACTCCTTTGTAGGGATTATTTGCTCATGATCTTTTCAGTTTTGGTATATTATGAAACTTTCATACTCTTTGCTAGGGAAAATACTTGTCAGAGAGAGAGAGAGAGGGAGGGAGAGAGAGAGAGAGAGAGAGAGAGAGAGAGAGAGAGAGAGAGAGAGAGAGAGAGAGAGAGAG